CAATTTGAAAAGTGATAGAATGTATTGAATTGATTTGTTGCAAAATGCCGTTTCGAGATCAATACCCCTTTCGGGACTAACATCCCATTTGGCATTAAAAAAACTAATGAGAAACTGCTGTTAAAAATATCGCTGAAAGTTTCTGAGCTTGATTTAATTTAAGTTGGACTATAATTATCGTAATATCTGAATATGCTGTTAAATTATAAAACCTGGTTCAGTTACAGTCATTTGCTGTTGAATGACATCAGCGATTTCGAAGATTCTTCTGTAATTTCTAGGAGCTATAAATTTAAAGGAATTAAATTACCTTGAACGATTATAGCTTAGAAGATTTTCCCTCCCCTGTCCTCGTCCAATATTAATCTTAGTTTCTCCCCTATTCGTATTCCTTTTGTTTATATCTTAAATTTAAAAGAACTGCTTTCAATTGTTTTTGATTTTTATACTTATTTTTGAAGGATCTCGTGCGATGATTAAATTAAGGAATTGTACGGATTAAACAGCTTTCTTCTTTTCTCTCTGGAGAGTGTAAACACGTTTTATTATTTTATATATCCTGGGAGAAAGAAGTAAAATCAAAATATTTTGCTTAAATAATAATCTATGTTTCTCTAAATGCGACCGAGAGATTATTATTTGAAACAGGAGAAAAATTCGAAGTTTCTTTTTAATCTGTTAACGATAATACTTTATTTAAATGCTTTAGAAATGGAAATTTTCTGGTCACGATTTTTAGGATTACATTCCGCGTCAGTAGAGATTACACTCGGAAAAAACAGAATTTCGAAAACGAAGCTTGGACCTACACATTATATAACTTGATCAGAATAACAAAACTAGTTTTTATTTGTTTAAATATACACATCTCATTTCTGTTTAAACCCAAATGGAAAGATTGAAATAATTTTTGTTTATTTACCTTACGACTAAACTATTTTACTAAGTAGAGCAAGAATTTTTTTTCTGTGAAAGGATAAAAAAATCAAAACTTATAACCTAATTGTATTCAATTAAAATTAACCTAAGCGTGTAAAATCAATTTGGCTTAATCTAAAGACTAATCTCATTCTCTTAGCCTGCCAAACAAATTATCGTCCTGCCTTGGTCTCCAAACACACAACTTACAATAACAATAAAAAGTAATAAAAGTCAAATCTGAAAACATTCAGATTTTAAATTACGCTCAAAGGGGCTTTTGTAACGTTTTTTGTGTTACCTTTATTTATTAAATATCGTGTTCTTCGCACTTAAACTATAAAATTCTATTCAACGGTAATATCACAAAATAATTTAAGAGCATATCTTTAGAATTTCCGATGCACAGTCTCGCGCACTGGAGATAAAAATGTTTTTAATTTTGTTCGTACAGTGTTGCTATTAGTCGTTTTGAAATCGTTGAATTTGTTAATCTGAAATTCGTTAAAATTCTACAAAATATTAAATAGGTAATAAAACAAATTCCTAATTTGGGCTTCCAGATGCCCATATTCGAGTCGAGGACTACGTTATTTAAAATTGGATGTCTCCAGGTACCGTTGTTTTTCCAAGGTGCGAGAAACATACATACATACAAACATACATAAATCTGCCTGAATACATTCATGCAGATTCCTCATTATTTAATTTCTTTAAATATAACGCAGGGCCCAAATATTTGGTGACAACAATTTGAAAAAAGATTAAGATTTTATAGTAAATCAACCATGGAGGTTAGAATGGATGGAGTACATAGACCTTATAAGAAATAGACTAACCCAAACGGGTTTTCTCCCTCGTCTGAGGCGTTGTCGGCTGTCACCTTGATCACATCCGGAGGAGTAGGGACCACTTGCAGAAATTTAACATTGGTTGCCTATTGCAGCGTGTATAATTGTTAAGAAAGAGCTGGTTGTAGCGACTCATTTCACAAATTAGAATTTCTACATATATTTTTATTTTTGAAATTGAGATTGATTTTTAAAAACTTTAGCATATTTATCAAGCATAATTAACGTTTCAAATAATTATAAAGCTATTGCATGCTCTCAGGGCTGGATATTTTTTTAGCTTTTCCTATGTTGTAAGGAAATTTGTAACTACTTCTTTTAGAAAATAATATTTTAAATCTGAACTAATAGAAAATTTCAAACAAGCAATTTTCTCTTGCAATTTTTATGCTTTTTATTGTTGCAAATAAGTAAAAAGTACTAAAATATTTAAAAACGAATTTTTGAAAGTTTTGTTTAAAATTCTAAATTGTGCTGCTTTTTTAAAATTATAGATGAGTATTATAGCACAATTTTTATAAAGGAATTTTATTTCAATTATATTTCATAATACATCATAGTGATAAACACTTTTTGACTCCTTAAAATTTTTTATACATTTAATTCTAATATTAAAATTGTATTTAACCGTAATAATTAATTTTGCTTGTATTTTATAGTGATTATTTTTTTAAATTTATATTTAGTTCTGCATAAGATTTTTTTTATTTACTGTTAATTTAATTTATTAACCCAAAAGCGGCGGTCGCCTAGAAAGGCTGTTAGTTTCGAAGCTGCATTTTGCGCTGTTTTACTATAATTGTCCGTGTCTCCTTGCAAATTGTTGTTACCAAACATTATCGCCTTGTATTATATGTAGAGAAATTAAATAATGAAGAAATCTGCATGAATACATGTATGTTTCTTGCACTGTGACAAAAACGACAGTATCTAGAGCCATCAAATTTTGAATAATGTAATTCTCCAACCAAAACATGGGCATCTGGACGGCCGAATTTCGAATTTATTTTAATCTATTTCATATTTTGTAAAACTTTAACGAATTTTTGATTAACAAACTCAACGAGTTCAGAGCGAGCACTGTACGGAAAATAACAGTTTTATCTCCAGTGCGGAAATTCTAAAGATATGCTGTTTTCAAATGTATTTGGTTTACGGGCGAAGAACATGATATTCAATAAATATAGGTAACACACAAAACTTTAAAAAAAAGATTCCTTTTGGGGCGTAATATAAAATTGAGTACTTCTAGATTTTATTTTATCTTTTTTTTTCCCCCTTCATTACGCTCAGAAATTTTATGCTCTGAATTTTATGAATTATTAAAATAACTAATCCACTTTAATGTTAATAATTTAATGATCCTATAATCAAATAAATATGATCGTTTTTGTAATGTTATTATTGTTTAGAAAATCGCTGCCTGAAAATTTTCATTAATTTTTTTAAAAAAAATTATCAGATCTTGTTTAATTTTACTTATTTATTTCAAAGCATCACGTACTATCAATCTTATTTAATTTTACTTTATTTTTACGCAAAATTAAGTTCATAAATTTTGTGCGTAGAGTTTTTAGCGTTTTACCAAAGTAAAGATGTTTGTACAAGAATTACGCGTGAAAAAAAATGTGCGAAACGCAGTAAAAAGTGCTTTAATGAGATATATTAAATCCTATTTGGGAAAAACTGTGGCTTTCATAATCTCATCACTATACAACGTATCACATTTAATAATTAAAAAGAGTTATGTGATACAAACGCCATAGGTTTCTGTGTTAAAGTAAACCAGATCGTCCCTACTCTTTCTTGCCGACATGTCGGTGACGCACGCCCCGCTAACTGGGTTAGTCTGAATCAATGCAATGGTCAAAGATGCTACAATCATTCCGGCTGTGCACCAGCTAATGTAGCGTTTCATAGGAAAATGTCATAAAGAAGTCATTTTACTGTTTCTGTATATTTCTATTATTCTGCCTTATGGAAGCGGCCATTATCAGTCGTGACGTCACGTTTCATGGCTTCATTTTCATTGCACGAGACATACGGAAGAGGCTTACTCCATCTGTTATAATCTGCCTGGAAGCAACGTAAAATGCCAAAACGAAATAAATAGCCCTTCTGAGTTAACGTCCCTTTGGGCTAATAACTGCAACATTTATTTTCACTTTATCTTGAAACTACAGGAAATTAAAATGTCAATAAATTTGACTTCCTGTTCTTGCGACCTGAAAAGACAACGACGATTCAAATTATTTCTAAGGCACAGTTTGAATTTAAAGCGTAGTAGCCTAGCTTCGGTGCTTCAAGACAACCAGCATAATGTTAGTTAAAGACACACCATTTTTTATCACACTTCTAAGTGAAGGCAGCATCAGAATCATAAGAAATTCAGTTCAGCAGGATAAGATGGGGTATTTCCTGTCTAAACTTAGTACGCTGCCAGTATTTTAAACTTATTTTCAATTTCATTTTCTGTTAGGGTAGACGAAATAATAAAAGTGCGGGGGGGGAACACTAAATCAAAATAAGCCTAAGAAGTAACTATTATTTCATGTCGGTTAAATCAACGAAAAAGCTAAGTACATGTAAATAAATCAACGGTTAGTTTTGCTCACATTTACTTTATACTGACAATGAACAATCTGAAAACTATATAAATGATAATAGAAAAATTTAAATTTAAAAAAAATAAATAAATAAAACGCTGCTTTATTTCCTAACATTTATGTAAAATGATTTGAGGAGTGGTAAATTAAGAAAATAACACAAGTTTTAGGCACATCTTTCTGATTTGTTTCCGGCTAGAACATCACTCTCGCAGTCCAATAAGGATTCATATTATTGGACTAATCCTCCAATAAAGTTTCCATATTCCCTGCTCCAAAATAAATCTAACTCTATAAATGAGCCTACATTGAAATGTGGTGGATATTAATTCATAACCACTTTGACATGGCGACTGGGTGTCTTCTTCTCCAGTCGTTTTTTAAGCGGGGAATAATGTAAAACCTTTCATCCTTCCATACCACGTGTCTTCGTAGTGCTATTCAAAGTGCATCCAACTAACAATCGGATCGTCGTAGTTCGCCTCTCGGAGAGGGCATTGCCCGTTTTTCGCATTTTCTGCTCCGACATAAACCGTGTTTACATATTATGCTTTAATATTATTAAAAAGGCATAATTTACTATGTTTCGTATTTTATAATTAGACATTTCATCTCTTACTTACAGGTCATCCAGGAGTCAGTGTTTCACCTAAGATATTGGTCATCATCATTCTGAGTGTAGTCATCGTCATTTCCGTAGCAATAGTCTGTATATTTTTTGCCAGTAAGTTTTATTTAGTATTTTGTATTTATTAAGTATGTCAGTTGAAAATGTAGAAAATACTTTTTATAAATAGATTGACTCTGAAAAGTACTAAATTTTAACCAACCAAGTAATTTATTATTTCAGGTAATACTTCACTTTCAGTAATTTATAATATGGATGGATATCTAATAATACTGAAAAAATAAACAAACTACTAAATAAAGTACTAAAATAATACTGAAAAAACATGTTTCTTGGCAGTTGTTACACACTTTCGATTTGACTGCTTGTGCTATGTTCAGACAAAATGGATCAAAATTCAAGTCATGTTTAAGTTCAGAATAAAATAAAGAGTCTAAAGTATTTTGGGATATGAACTAAATCGTTACAGCCTCCCAGACGGTATAATGGTTAGGGAAGCCTGACTGCGATACCGAAGGGCCTGGGCTCGAATCCCGGAGAAGGCATGGTTGTAACTGTCCGTCCTTTCATTGGAGGGGATGGTGGCCCACCTATTAGGTGCCTCCATACTAAAGAGGCCACCACATCTGGCTTTGTATAGATTAATGGACTGTGTTACACTGTAACCGTTCACAATCTGCCATTGAGAGGGGAAAAACAAAATCATTACAGGATGAATCAGAAATACGCCTACACAGCAGATCGTATCGTATGTGTAGGAAAGTGAATTAGATCCAATGAAAATTCAATTCTTGAAACTGAAGAACAAAGCGCAGCAGCACCAACCAGACTCAATCTATTGCTTTTTTTCGTAGGGTTATTAGAGAATGTTTCCACAATTATCATCAATGCTGTGCGTCGGTGCCACCGTGAGTCTCTGCAGTTTCTGTTTTTTCCCGTTGTTAAGCAGTCATTTCCTGCATTTTCTTTCAGTCGACAGTAAGCATTTGGCATTTAAATCATATATCACCAGCTCCTTGGCCTCACGATCATTATGGTGTGCAATATTTCATATTGGGACTGCAACTTGCTGCTACATATTCAGAGCCATTTCACATGAAATTTCCATTATGATTCATGTGCAAGTTCATGTTTAATATGCTATTCTCAAATTTCTACTGAAATATATAATAGAAGTATATATACACTCTTTGTGTATAGGTTAATTTTCTAATTACATTACGCGATGATTGTCTTATAAAACGTTTCTCCTCCTTTCGTCACAGCTGCAAACTACCGAAAAGTCCAACGGGATCGAGATGTGAGTGATGAACCACTGACTAGTCCTGAGGAACAGCTGAATCGCCTGCGGAACGGCGGCGGTATGGTATCTGAGAACAACCCAAACTACGAATTCGGTGGCAACACCTGCACGGAACAAGACCTCAGGAAAGTCCCAAGGGAGAATCTAACTCTTGTTAAGTATGTTATCGTTTTACTTTTTAGAAAAAGATTTCCTAAGGTTCATTTAAATAAAGAGGTTCCGAGCTGTAAAATCCATTGTGATATCAAGAATTTCAGAACATATTTTCCATCGTTTTTTGTAGTAAGGCACTTAATTGCCAACTTATCAACTGCCTTCTCGTAAAACTCTCTCTCGTGTAACTTATCTTTAAGCTGATTTCTTTTCTAGAATGATCAGCTGACACGATATGATGTCTGTAAACGTTGTCTTTCACGGGGCAAACATGGAAAGCAGCCTGATCATAAATCAGAGATGTCAGCCAATTGTTGCTCGATACCTATTCTGAATAAACTCATGAATCATAATAACTTAACTGCCTGTTTTCAGCGTCTATCCAGTGTATGTGTTACGGTGAACCACCGAAATCTGGAGAATGTCGACTTTCACCGGTGAATGTCAACATTCACATAGTCGCTTGGTGCATGTCCGAAATATTTTCCAAATACTCTTATTTCTGACTTGCAACGGTAAATGTCGACATTCACCATGTGCTAATGGTGAATGTTGAACATATGAGAATATTATATTTTCTTCTCCGTAATTCAGTCTCGAAAAAATGCACTTGAAATTTAAAACGAGAACTTAAGAATATAAGAACTTAAAACACACAGTACATTAAAATTGAGAAAGGACAATAATAGAAGTTAAAAACTTAATAAATTATGTGATTCAAATCTTATTTGCTGCAACAACTTAAACTATTAGGACACTTTGAATTGCACAAGAGGTCCTTGCTTTTACAACTGCATTTATTTGTGGAACACTTCCTTTTGCAATGACAAAGCGTGTGCATATACTCCTCTCTTCCTCGACCTACACCAGAGCATATCTGTGATTGTCGACATGCATCGGTGAAGGTCCGAATGTACAAGAATGTAATGCAATATTCTATCTTTCACCAACGCATTTGGTGAATGTTGACATTCTCCTGTGAAAGTCGACATTCTCCAATTTCGGTCTTTCACGGTAACATATGCATAACTTTGTAACTTCATTCTTCCTCTCCGGGTATGCAATTTTAGTACTCCGCTATATGACTTTTTCTCTGATAAACAGTAATAAATTTTCCGTGGACTGTCAAAGTTTACTTTCAAAGAACGGGAACTCTACTACTACGTTTAAAGCCAATTCACACCAATGCGATCACTTGTTGGAGCGTAAAGCGGTAACCAATCATAATCGCGTTTATAGATGGTATTTTCCGGATAGCTCAAGACCGTCAGAGTTGACTCAACTTCATCTTTTTGCGGCTTGCCGAGACAGTTTCAAATGTCCAATTTTTACCACAATTTTTATATATGCTTACCATCAATATACTTTTAACGTTCATCTTGAGGGAAGTATGAAATAAAATGAAATAATCTTAATAAAAGTATCAGATGATAATTAACATATATAAATTAATACAGTAATTAAATATAGTATTTAGATGAAAATTCTGAAGTTTTTAAGAGTAATTAACTATAATTATAATCCATAAATGAAATATGGTTGATAAAAATCTAAAGCAGTAGATTCTTGCGAGAAAAGGATGATAGATTTCGAAATCCTATATTTTGAATTTTACTTAAATGTGTACCAATTTAAGATTATTTTTATAGTCTCCTATTGCCTAATGGGTAAAGCTATTTTTATAGTCTCCTATTGCCTAATGGGTAAAGCTTTGGCCTCTGGAGCCGAAAGTTTTTTCTCTCCTTTGATGATCGTTTGAATTCAGAAAATTTTTACCTACCTCCACTCTTTTACCTTTTTTTACACAAGGAATCTGTATTTATTTTTTGATGACTGCAAATGCGATTTTCGACGTTATTTGCATTATCTTTCTTATAACAACGAGCTTTTGGCACATGATGATCTGCGTATGATGATCTGTGTAAAAACCTTTTCCGCTGGCACCAGCCTAGCTAAAGCAGTATGGTTATAGGATTGCTTTTTTATTTAGGAAAACTATTATTTATACAGAAAGGAAGCTTTCCAGTGACATTTAAACTAAGACGGAATTAATCCTTAAGTTTTGATGCTGATTTTATGGAATACTTAAGGGTAAAAAATATGTAGATAGCAGTAAGTATGTTTTGAAAGTTTTTTAAAATGTTTTCCTCTTTACTATTTTTATTATTGTTATTATACGTATTATCGTTTTCGGAAATTGCTTCACGATGTTTTTCTCCGGTATTCTGGTGAAAATTATTGTTCAGATTGATGTTGCGCTCTGGAAAGGTAATTAAAAATCGTTTGATGTCGTTCAAGCGCATCTCATCATTAAAATTATTTGAAAATTTGAATCTCCTTGTGGCAGTCGTCTATTACAAATTATGCAACCCATCACCCTCTACTTCGTTTTCTACGTAAAGCAAGAAATGAAATAAGTTTTGATATAGCAGAAATTTTCTCCATTTTAACAGATAATATAACTGTAGGAAATTAAAATAGTCCTAAAAAATACACGATTTTCCCTGAAGTTTCCGATGTGAAGAGCCATCTAGTGGCCACGCATGAAAACTTTTAAAACGATACTTTCCGCCCTATGCGAACTGACGCTCCGGAAAGGCGCTTTTTTTCCCTCCTCGTCAAAGTACCAGTGTGAACATAGCTTTCGCTATTGTTTTGTAAAATTTTTGATTGAATCTGCGTACATTTTTCTTGATATTTCAGATCCACGCAAACGAACTTTTGCTTCCGTTAGGTCGAAAAAGCGGTGTTTTCCTCTTCAGAGAAATCAATCCCGTAATTTCTGTCCATTGAATGACCTTTATAATTCACATAATTTAATATTTCTAGATTCAAATATCTCAGAATGTCACTCTATCCTGTAATGATGCAGTTTAGGCAATTGTCTTAGTAATGAGACGGCTAAATTACTGGTGGATTTGGTTCTTTTCCACGAATACTTTCGAGCTGGTGTCTTACCATTGGGAGGGGGGCAAAAACTCAAAATCATATCTTTTTAAATGTTCGCACTATCTTTTACTTGACGCATTGTTAATTTTTCAGAGATAAGTATTTCACATATTTTGTGAGTTTGTTTAGATAAAAAAATTCCTTTACAGTTCATGCACCACTAAAAAGTTACAGTTATCATTACGTGTAGGCATAGCGAAGGATTTTCATTAAAGATGTCGATTTTCCAACACCATTTGTGTAAATTTAATCGTCTTTATTGGTGGATAATGGAGTAATCTTAATCTTCTCTTCCGTATCCAGTCATGTATGTTTTTATTTTATTATTCTAATTCTTCTTTCTGGGAAGCTAATCACACTATTTTAAACAAGATGTAAACAAGATTCCTAACTGATCCTTCTAGAATGAAGTTTTGCTACAGTTATTTTATGATACAGGCAGCTTTCTAAAAATAATTATTTTATTTCCTTGTTTGTATGTGAAAAAGTATGAAAAAAAAACTGAAAATGCAAACTAGCATAGCAAAATTTTAATTATAGTTACTCGTATTGTATTCTGCAGCAAAAAACGTTCAGCAGATTGATGTTAATGTACGGAAAATTTAGTTCGCTACCCACAAAAAGGTAGTTCTTCCAAAAATCAGCTGAAAAACGGATTCATGTTATGAATATTACCCATGTAATTGTATTCAAGCGGCAGAACGATCATTAACGAACAACGAATAGCATAGGTCGAATGGAACGAGGAATTTTATGTAAACATTAGACAGCGTTAATAATAAATTTTAATTACTTGTTGATACACTCGGCTGCAAAAATATTCAATATCTGAAAGCGCTCTTGAAAGACTTTAACTCTGTAGCAAAGAAAGTATGCACTTATTTAAAGGTTAACTCTGTAGCAAAGAAAGTATGCACTTATTTAAAGGCTTTGAGCTAATCATATTCTAGAACACTTGATTAAAGTGTTACTAACTACAAGCTCGTCTCTCGAGCAACTCAGATGTTCTGGTAATATGTCACTTGAAACAAAAATAATGCACTAAAACCTTTCATTAAATAATCAAGATTCGAACTGCGAAATTCAAAAAATTAAAAGTACAACTTTTTGTTTTCTAATAAACACTTTATAAATACACTTCTCTCAGTTTCAATTCAGTGGAAGAAATGAAAACTATTTTCAGACTGTCTATAGATCGAGAGGATAGCGAAATCCGACTCTCGGTCGAAGCAAAAATAATGATACTTCAACACACATTTAATAATCTATAACTGTCTTTAAATTAGAAGACATTTAGCTACTGTTTATAATGCATTGATTGAATCGATTATGGAAGTTTTTCTGTTTACTCAAACCTTATGGAAAAGGTAAGGATATCAAGCATGCAATGACTGTTTGTAGTGTCAATAGGTTTTGCGGAGGGCGTGAAAGCAAGAGACATGAAAAACGTACAGTGCCCTAGACGGGTCCCAAGGATGGACCTTTCAAATACGCTTCCAATTACATCGCAAAGGCATGCAGAAAGGAGGGAGAAAATACACTCATGTCCATAAATTAAGGATAATGCAAAATCAGGCAAAGGAAGAGTTAGAAGCAAAACAAATTTGACTTATTTGTAAAGCTTATTTATTAAACAAAAGGTAAAGGGCAAAAAAGATGCTATACGTTTGATATTATTAAAAAAATTAGCGATTTTTTCTCCCTGGAGCAAATTACAAAAAAAAACCTATTTAAAAAAAACCAATATTACATGGTTGGTATGATTGCTAATACATTGTATGTGTCCCAGACGATGCAATACAGTCCGTACAACGAATAGGCATGCTGAGTATCAAATTATCGATCTGATCTTGGGGGATATTACACCATTCAAAAAGCAATGCTCTCCGAAGTTCCGGTAGACATGTAGGAGGAGGTTCACGGGCTGCAACTCGTCGGCCAAGCATGTCCCACACGTGCTCTACTGGATTCAAGTCCGGTGAGAATGCTGGCCAGTCCATACGAGTGATATCCTCCTATTGAAGGCATTCGGTTACGATGTTTGCACGGTGAGGAC